AAAAATAAACTGAATTAGTCCTGAAACTATTTCAAAGTTGAAATAAAATTACCAATTGGCAGATGGTCGTAATTCAAAATCATGCATAATAAGCTTAAAATGATAATGTTTTGTTTCAAATAATAACATCGTTATTCATTCTTCTGTCCTTACATACTCACCATAATTTATTATCGAAACATCGACGTAAAACTGCGAGTAGGAAAACTACCAGGCGGCAATAGCAGCGTCTAAAATAACCTGGCCACACTGCACACCAAGCAGCCAGCGACTTCTGATTCGAGGCACCGAAGAAAAGTCAGCAAGCATATTTTCAACGTCAAATGGCACATAGGTTCTCTCTTTCCCCTCCCTCTTTTTTCCTCTTTCCCCCCTCTCTCTCTCTCTCTCTCCCTCTCTCTTTCTCTCCTTCTCCGATTGTCTCAGCCTTCAGTAAATGTAGTCACAACACATGAACTCGAGTTCTGACGCCAAAAATATCCTAGTTTTACAGCACCAAACGGCAGTCTTTAAGCAGTGGTGGGGACCCCACCACTGGGGTCCTCCGCATGGGAATGTTTATTATTGAACGGCTCTGGGAAAGAAGCCGAGCGCCGGATATATCTTTTTTTTTAAGACCGAGGTTTTCACTTTTCTTCCATCATTTCCTACGAGTTTTTTCATACGATCCTTTGCTTTACGATCCTTCGCTTACGATCTTAACCCTCGCCCTGGCAGGGGGTCGATGCGCCCCCCCCCTAAGGTTTTTTCGAAGATAGCGTAAAAACGCGCCGCCAAATTTAGCACAGCCTATGGGGCAACCTTTTTACATATGACCTAAAAGTTTCAGGTCCGGGTGACTTTGGTTCAGGTCACCAGGTCAGAAAAACCGGCACAAGGTCATGGTCAAATTTCAATTTTCTTTTTGCACCTGTCCAACTCACAGTTTTGGACTGATTTCATTCAAACTTTCAGGATGTGCTAAGTTCACCGATTTGTATAACATATAGTTCGGGTTTTTTAGGTCACTGACCTTAGGTCAGTTAGAGGTCATTACGTCGTAATGTTAAGCCTATGTGAAAATACTAAATTCGGAAAATACTGGAGATATCCGCTTCGTTCTATCATTTTTGTGCTTTGAAACCACAGTACTTAACAGCAGGTCACTTGTTGCTTCTTTGTTTGGTGTACTTATCCATGGGCCAGGTCAAATGAGGTCAACTGAGGTCAAATGACGTTTTTGCCAATAACTTGGCACATAATGACGCTAGAGCTTAAAAACTGGTATCATTGTGTTTCTGGTGGTCAGCCGAATCGAATGATATGCGATATAATGCAATAACCCCACCGTGGGGTCCTCCTGAATGCCAATGGACAGACGGCGGTGGAGCTCACGTGCGGAGACCATCGACAAACTGCCACGCCGGCTATGCACAGGCACTGGGAGCACTGTATGCATGAGTCTGCCGAGACGGGAAGCCATTGTAGCAGATAGCCGTGCGGTTAGCGGGCTGGGGGGCACTGGCATCCCAATTCCCAGGTATGCGCTGTAGCTGCCTCAGACGCTGCCATATTTGGTAGGTGAACGGATTTCTCCGATGCAAACACGGCACAACACCATCAGCTTAACCCTCGCCCTGGCAGGGCATTTTTCATAACACGGCCTGGCAGGGGGGGGGGTCGATGCGACCCCCCCCCTCGCGATTGGCTCCTATGGCACCTAGAAACACCAAATTTGGTAGGTAGGTGGGCCCCCTGGAGTTCTCGCCCCTGTGCAAATTTGGTTGCTCTAGGTCAATATTTAGGGGGGTTTTGGGGGGTATAAATGTAAAAATTTCGCTAAAAACAGGTCAAAAGTTTTTCGCTTATAACTTTTGATCTAATTAAGATAGAGCAAAAAGAAAAGCACCAGTGAACTCAGCACGTCAAGGCGCGTCGAATGATATACTTTTTAGCTTGCTTAAGTGTACTTAAAGTTGTTCTTAAATCTTAAGTACACTTAAGTTAATAAATTAAGTTAAAGTTAACCAAATTGCATCATATCGTATATCATTCGATTCGGCTGATCACCAGGAACACAATGATACCATTTTTAAAGCTCTAGCGTCATTATGTGCCAAGTTATTGGCAAAAACGTCATTTGACCTCAGTTGACCTCATTTGACCTGACCCATGGATAAGTACACCAAACAAAGAAGCACCAAGTGACCTGCTGTTAAGTACTGTGGTTTCAAAGCACAAAAGTGATAGAACGAAGCGGATATCTCCAGTATTTTCCGAATTTATTATTTTCTCATAGGCTTAACATTACGACGTAATGACCTCTTACTGACCTCAGGTCAGTGACCTCAAAAAACCCGAACTATATGTTATACAACTCGGTGAACTTAGCACATCCTGAAAGTTTGAAGGAAATCAGTGCAAAACTGTGAGTTGGACAGGTGCAAAAAGAAAATTGAAATTTGACCATGACCTTGTACCGGTTTTTCTGACCTGGTGACCTGACCCAAGGTCACACGGACCTGAAATTTTCAGGTCATATGTAAAAAGGTTGCCCCATAGGCTGTGGCAAATTTGGCGGCGCTGCGCGCCGCCGTTTTTACGCTATCTTCGAAAAACCTTAGGGGGGGGGGGTCGCATCGACCCCCCCCCTGCCAGGGCGAGGGTTAACCCATGTCCCGCTTGACTTCCTGGGCTTTCACGTCCTGAGTTTGAGTGCTTGTTGGCGTATACGTTGTGTGTTGAATTATTTTGTGTATTTCCAGAAGAGAAAACGCTTGAACCTGTTCCGCGGTGAGATTAAGGTGTTTTACCAATTATTAAAATTTTCGCGCTTTTTATTGAAAAATACATCAATGCTCAGTAGGTATACTCGTATGTGAAAATGTCAGCTGCAGTCTGCAGAAAATTTGCATCACGTTCCGGAAGGTCGTAGGGGTCCAGTTAGTGATGTCAAGTACAGATAATTTTGAAACCGATACCAAGCCCAATAGCAACCAAAATAATGGGAAAATACAAAAAAAAACATTTAAAATTGATAGAAATACCAAGTTTTTATCGAATTCAGAGCATCTTATATATTTGTAATGCCTCAAAATACTAACCAAAAACCAAATGCATTAGGATTGAAATATAAAATGCTTAGTGGGTATCGGAATTGGTATCGGTATACCAAGAAGTTGATATCCGATAGACATCTCCAGTCCCGTTCAAATTCCTGATGAAGGTAGTGAGAAGAAGAACATTCACGTCAACATATAAGATATCTTTATAAAAGAGAAACGAACAGAAATGTGCACTGGGGCAATGAATGCCTAGCACTGAAAGTCATTCGTATCATTTTCCACTAAAGAAAAAACTGCAGAGGGAAAGAATGTCATCAAAGTTTTTTCGAGCTCCAATTTTTTACAAATAAGTAGACAACTCGCGAATGCATAAGGCTGTCTCAAAACACTTTTAATGATGTGCCCGGGAGAACTAGTAGCCCAACTATACCAAGTTTTTATACAATTTATTTTATACGAGTATTACTAGCACAAAGTATAGTACTAGTATAATACAAGTATTATACTAGAATAGTAGTACTTTTAATGCTAGCATTAGTATTATGCCAGCTTAGAAAAGCCGCTTTCATGACGGGCTATCTGGCGAATGGACCTAATTTGACCACATCTGCACCCAATTTCTTTTACAATAAATATATTCGTCTCATGAGATTATTTCAGCGTTTTAAACGAAAATAATGTCTTATACCGAACTTGAAAAAATGAGGTATATGAGCATCTGTGCAGCCCAAACTGATAACTTCTAAGAAACATACTGAACTAATTTGACCAAATCTGCACCTATTCCCCAGCAAATGTGTACCAGATGGCCGTCGTGAAAACGGCTAATGCTTAGCTTTTAACTCAGTCACAGACTTCTCTATATACCTATATTATTTCTTGAATCAGTAGGCTTAGTTTTTTTGTGGATTATTTTTTGTTGCTGTTTTTTATGACGGCTTCGGACGCTAAGCGAGTTAAGCATCGATTTCACCATACCAACATTTCGTTTTGGTCGTCGAAGCTCGTCGACTGATCAACGTCCATCTTGCAAATCCTGGTGACACAGCTGGGGACGACGCCCAGCTGTAAGTGAGCGCATCAGCCTGTGGGAAGGATAACGAAATAAATACTTAAGTAACTAAATAAATAAATAAAACTTGGCTGTGGCCAACGAGATCAACACGCTCGTGTTTTGCAGCACTCAACGACATGATACTACAACGGGAGACTGCGACACTGCAGTTTGCACTGCTAGACCGTGGCCTCTCGTCAATAGCGAGTTCGATAGGGTGATATGTTTGACCCAAACATTTAGTCCAGGATCGAACACAGGCCATGTCGCCGCCGCGCCTCTTCACACACACAGCTTCTGTCGGCGCTTGTTGGCTGAGGCAGGGCGGTGCAACGATGGACCGTACTCGGTACACAGAGGCCACTTCCTGCCGATGACCTGTGGTGCATCACAGGGTGCAGAGCTGTCGGCTGACCCACGTCGGCCGGCACGAGCCCGGGGCCTGACCGGCCTCTCAGGTGGGTCTAACGGACAACTTTAACCCAACTTTATTGAGCTTTTGTCCGTCCGAAGGGTTGCGTGTATTTATATAGATTTGTCTTATTTTTATCCATGACTTCACCTGTAACCGGGTTTTATCTGTACCTGTTGGTGACGAGCAAATAAACAACCAACCAAACAAACAAACAAAGTTCTCTTCTACGATCTCAGAGCAGAACAAAACGGTCGCATTTATAAATACCACCTTTCAATCTAACTAATTATTTTTGTGTAACTCTCCACTTCGTCTATGTTTCAGCATCTAGTCTGAGAAATCGGTTTTCTTTATTATTTCACATTTGTTAGTCACAAACATTGTCCGGATATTTTTTCAACAGTCTTACGCGTTGGTTAGTTACACACATAACCATGTGAATTCTAAATCAAGTTGCTGACTCGCGCAGAGTGGTTGTTTTCCACAGTCAGACTGGCGCCGGTCCCACCTCTCGGTCACAATGGCCAAGGTGGACGTGGTGTCTGCTCGTCGACTGGAGGATGACCGCAGCCCGCCTGGCGCACCACACCTCCCCAGCGGCACGGAGGAGCCCCCGGGGGAGCCGGCTGCGACACCGGCCGCCCGCGCCCTGCTGCTCCTGCTCCGGGTCACCGGGCTGGTCACAGACCGAGCCGGCCCGGCCGCCAGGCTCTACGCAGCGCTCGCGTTTGTCGTCAACTCGGCTGGAGCTGGCTGGTTCACTGTTGTCTGTATTTCCACGGGTAGGGTGCTGCAGGGCGATGGCCATGTAGTCGTTGCTCTGTCACACAGCGGATTTTTCGGTCTGATGTACGTCCTGATGTGGATGTCAATGGCATGCTGTTTTCTGTGGAGTCGTGAGCAGTACGGAGAGCAGCTCACAATTATACGCGCTGCAGTTCACAGACTGTCTGAGTTCCATGGCAGCATGGAGCTGTCTGCCAGTCTGAGAAGGAACACATCAAAGCTGCTTGCCGTCGTTGTGATATTATTCACCATAACAGTTGCTGTCAGGCTCTATTATCAGCTGCTTTTTCCTTGTGGAAAACTTCCCCTCCCCTGCCTCCCCTCTCTGATATATTTGATTGTATTCTGTTGGTCAATCGTCTCGTTTTGTCTCGTTCCGTTCAAATACGTCTTATCATCCCTTTACGTGGAGAGCGGGCTGCAGAAAATAAGCACCATTCTCAGCGCAATGGTTGAAGAACGCTACCAGCCGGACCCGGCCGCCGTCTGTGACATCATATCGCTCCACGGAGAGCTGTCCCGCACCTTCGGCCGCCTCACCAGGGCCATGTCGGCCGAGCTGGTGCTGGTGATGGCCTCCGGCACCATCATCTGCGTCACCATGCTGCTGACGGTGATCAGCAGTCTCACACTGGGCACGTTCGAGGTCATGGTGCCCATGCTCGTCCTCTACACGGGGCTGGCCTCGGTGACGATGGTACTACCCAGTGAGGCCATCCAGCGGTGTCTGGAGGCGGCCGGGGAGGCGCGCGAGCTGCTGCTAGCCGCCGAGCTGCGCCAGCCGCCGCTCTCCCGCCAGCTGGGTCTGCTCCGGGAGTCGGTCGGCCGCGACCTGGACACGCTCGGCGAGCTGGGCCTGTTCCGGCTGCGCAGGTCCACCGTGCTCTCCATCAGCTCCACCATCCTCACCAACGCCATCATCATGCTGCAGTTCTACTTCGCCTAACCAGCACCGTCATCATGCTGCAGTTCTACTTCGCCTGAGAGCGCCACAGGATTTAGAGCTACATTGTTTGCTAGTTGCTATCCGATAGAACTTGATTGCTGGCATTTGGCAATGCTGTCTCTGACAACTGAGGGCTGCCTTCTCTCGACTGTTGGGAGTCGTATGCGAGTGACTTTTCAAATACGTATGATCTCGTTCGCATCAATGTCACGCACGGAGGAGCCTGCTGGTATATGGTACTTACCTACCGCACGTGTCTATGCATTGTAAATGTGCAAATAAATAGACTGCTGACTGCTGAGTTGTCTCTAACACGTATGTCATACAAACCAGTAAGACACCTTTTTGGGCGACAAACGAGCGCACACGCACTGGGGACACGAGGTTTGCACATACTTCCAAGTAACTTTTGCACGGCACCCCACTAACCGCTCTATAAGCGGTGTGCCAAATTTGAGCTCAATCAGTCCAGCTCCGTTCTTGAGATCTAACCCTAGAACGCCTAGGGGGGGGGGGGTTGTATCACCCCCCCCCCTGAGGTTTTTTCGAAGTGCACGCTAAACGGCTTGTCGTAGCGGGCTGAAATTTTCAATACCCTCTGGGGCAACCTTTGCGCATCTTTTGCCGAAAAAAAATTGATCGGGTCATGTCAGGTCACGGAGTTATGACGTCATAAGAGGTACAGCCTCCGGCCGACAGTTACCAAACGTGTGCGCCGAATCCCTAGGTTTTCTGCCGGTGATACCCACATTGTTTGATGGATCATGATGAAACTTCCCATGCATGTTGGGGCAAGCATTGGCTATCGTGTGGCGCAAGAAAATTGACCGGGTCAGGTCAGGTCACGGAGTTATGACGTCATAAGAGGTACAGCCTCCGGCCGGATTTTCACGAAGTGTGTACCGAGTCCCGAGGTTTTCTGCTGATGCTATCCACATTGCAGTGGATATCCATATATCTTTTCTGAGTCGTTACCTACAGTATTTATAGCGGAGCAGTGGTCAACAGCCGACGAATCGGGACAAACACCGGAGGGTGATGTGACACCATATCACTCATCAGCAATAGGCCTCTTACTTTTATAGGGTAAATACACCAAAAACACTATATATGATGCAGAATTGAGGGGGGAATACGTTGTTGAAGGTTTGAAGTTAATATCTCTCACCGTTTTGCCGCAATCGTTGCGCAAAGTTGAAAAAGTTTGATTTTTTCGGAAAATTTGACCTTTGACCGGTCATAAGTAGGTCAAATGTTGACCTAGGACCAAAAAATATACCACAAATCGCGAGATCTCGTTGAGAGCAATCCGTTGGTTTTTTCCGCTAAGCTCTACGACCTTCCGTTTCGAAACGCCAGGGGGGGTCGTAACAACCCCCCCCCCCCCTGGTCGTTCGTGTTATGAGAAATGGCCTGGTCGTGCGAGGGCTAAAAGTGTCACCTTGCACGTGCGCATGTGTAAACTGGATTCATTCTGACTTTTGCAGTTGCACGGCACCCCACTCGACGCTTCCTATATACACCTTTACCAAATTTGAACGCAATCGGCCCAGCCGTTCTCGGTATTTGGAACGACCCCTGCACGTGCGCCGTGCAGTGGTTCTCAAATCGTGGCATATGGATGTGCCTTTTCCGGTGGGTGCCTAGTGCCTACATGTTTGCCTTAACCCGCGCCCCACTGGCGTCTGCGTATAACGCGTCCTACTGCGGGGGGGGGGCTATTCATAGCCCCCCTCCTAATTCCGAAACTATTGGGTCGATCGTCAAAATTCAAACGGCGTCTGATAGCCCCGGGAAAACTGTCAAGCAAAACCTAACTTCATTGACCTCGAGGTCACCGATGACGTCACGGGTCAGGTAAAGGTAAAATTTATGTATAATTGACTTGTTCACATTTTGGGCTCTGGCTGCCGTCTTACAAGTCAGATCAGGCTGATTTTTGATTTACACACTCGTGAACAGATGCTGTAGATACCCTGAGGGTACAAAACTTGTACTTTGATTTTCAGGTCAAGGTCAGGTCATCACAAGTCACGGAAATCTTATGTAATGCATCGGTCACGTGACACATGTTTTATGGTCCATTTAGGCCATATATTTCGAATTCGATGTCGTTTATGTCATTCGAGGTCATTTCGAGTTGAATCTAGCTCAGATCAGGTTACTTTCAGGTCAAAAAGGTCAACTTTTAAAGTTGAAATTTTTAACAAACCAAGTGTCTATCGGATGCAGTTTGAGCTCAGGAACACGATGGTGCTATTTATATTGGTGTACGATGTCAAATACGTACCTACTGTAAAATCGATTTGAAAAATAAATAATCGTGAAATTTTTGCTGTAATGCGTACCTATAACTTGGCCATTGCCATTTTTGAAAATATCTGGCTAAAACTTGCTAGAGTAAGACATGGGTATGTGTTCTATAACATGTATTCCGGTTTTTCGAAAAATCAAAAACTCTTTGGAAAATATAAAAAATATAAATTTGAATTTTAATTTATATACTTTTCAAAAATTTCAACATTTCTAAAATCTGAGATGACAGTTTGATAGCGCAGTCCATTCTGAGTCCTCTCACGCAAAGAAATTGGATCGAGCTTAAAAACTGAGCTCTTTGGAGCGATTACCGTGGATCAATGTTTTGCGTCGAAATCGGCCGAACATGACGTCACTCTGACGTCATTTCCGGCCGACTAATGCTAGCTATGAAGTTCAAGTTTTGACACAAGGTGTCAAATTGATGAAGCCGGAGGTAGGGGAGAGTGGGGAAAGATGCCCAGGGTTTTACTATGTCATATATTATTCGAAAATGACGATCGGAAAGCAAAAACTTGTAGTTTCAACGGAAGCCGACATCATTTTTCTCCACAAATATCACACTTTCGTGCTTAAAATATGATAACTTTTTTTGCTATTAAGCATTTTCCTGAAGAAGTGAAAGGGGGCATCTTACCCCACAGGGTGGGAAAGACGCCCCCTGGCGTTGGGTAAGATGCCCCCTGCACTATAAGTGACATAAATGGGCACGTGAATCGCCTGAACGAATCAGTAGTCCCTTCGGGCCTGCAGTAGACACCAAACGTCATCGTAAGGGCCCTCAAAAGTAGTCGTAAGGGGCTTCAGAGGTCATCGTTAGGGCCATCATAGTCCAGCGCGGCCAAACAAGCCTCCGTGGTGGCGTTCGGAGACCACTGTGGGGCCCTTATAGGTCTTCATGATGCTTGAGGGCCCTCGAGCCCATCGTGGGGACCTCAGATGCCAGCGCGGCCCGTGGAGCCAACGTGGGAGCCCTCAAAGGATGTCGTGAGGGGCCCTGGAGCCAATAATGTGGCCCACAGAGGCCGTCGTAAGGGCTCTCAGAGTCAGATGCCGCCCAAAAAGTCGCTCTGTGGGCCGAGAGACCGGCATGGCCATGGGGAGCACCCGACCGTACTGGACTCTCAATAGTCCCAGATCGGCTTTTGTCTCTCATCACAGGTATGTAATAAATGATTTGACGGGCTGCTTGAAGGACAGCCTACGGATTTAGGGGGGCGTCTTTCCCCATCAGGACAGGGGGCACCTTACCTCAAGGTACCGAGGTAACATTAACCCGCGCCCCAGTGGCGGTCTCGGCCAACTTCGCCCTAGTGAGGGGGGGCATATGTTACCACCCACCTCTAACTCAAAAACTAAGAGGGCTAGAAAGACGCGGTAAAAAGCAGTCGATAGCTCTTAATACGTACGTTTGAAAGTATTTCGGTCATTTTTCACCTTAGAGCAATATTGAGGTCACCAGAGGTCATCAAAGGTCAAAATTTGCCAATTGTCATTATATTTTTCAGAAAACATGCCGCTATCTCAGGAACTATGGTAGCTAGAAAAACGCATGAAACAGCAAACGATAGCTTTTGAACTTTTCTTTTGAAAAGTTCATTATCAATATTGTCCTCAGGTCAACGGTTTAGCCTCCAGAGGGCAAAAACTCCAAAAATAGCTGTTCTTACGAAAAGTGTTTTTCGACAATAACTTTCGACTACAAAAAGCCACGACATTTCTATTGCCAGAATCGTGTTCCCCTCACCGAGACGCGTCGAATGAACTATAATTTGACCTTGAAAGGTCAACTTAAAAATTTGACCTCAGGTCAAGGTCATGACCTGACCGGAAAAGGTCATGCTGCATATCAGTCGAAGCGTCTCAACAAGACAAACACAATGAGACCATCCCCAGCGTTCTATCTCTTTCCAATCGCGAGTAATTGGCAAAAAACTGTTTGTAGCTTCAAATGACCTTGGATGACCTTTCTAGAGGCTATCAGCAAAAATGACACCTTGGTCATCACGAGTGGACTAAATCATTGTGATTCTGAAATATTTGGACTGTTCCTATGCGTACACACGGATCTAGAGGCATTTAACCCTCGCCGGACCTATTGGTTTTCTACATACGCGCCGGCCGAGGGGGGGGGCGGGTACGACCCCCCCCTCGCCGTTTCGCCCCTGGTGGAGCTAGCGCGTCGCGGAAAAAACGAGCGTGTGCGCCGTTACGAGACGCAGAGATTGGTACCCGATTTTAAGGTCCTAGGTCAACCGGTGACCTCTGAGGTCAGGTCAAGTGCCCCAAGGTACGGTTCAGTTTTTGGTGAATAACTTCGCAAAAAACGGTCGCAGAGCGCCGATTTTGGCAGCATCGTGTTCGTCTCGCTCAGGCGCGTCGAATGATATACTTTTTGTCCGGGTCAGGTCAACTTGGGGTGTTGACCTCAGGTCAAGGTCAGGTCAGCACCCCCAGGTCACGAAGTTGGTCGAAAGAGGTCATGTCGCATATCATTCGATTCGGCAGGTCTTCCTGAGTCCATTGGTGGCTTTCCCGACTCGCTAGCTCAATTTGATCAAGAGTTATTGACGAAAATCTAATATGACCTTAATGACGTCATAAATGACGTCACGCAAGGTCAACATTGCAAAAGTGACGCATATAACCTTGCAAGGAGTGCATGAAATCACGATTCTGTGTGCTTGAGATAGTTGGAGATCGTTCCCGGCGCCAGAATAGCAGTTTTCATTTTTCCCCATTGACTTATAATGGTGAGGTCACGAAAATGACCTGACCTCATATGACCTTTAGGAGAAATCCGAGATATACAAGTTGTGGGACTCGTAATGGATACTAGATCCTGCAAGTTTCATTTCCCTGTGACATCTCCTCTGGCAGTGAGGGCGTTGCGAAGTTGCGACATCTGAAGACCGTGCAGAGGTTCACTTATGACGTCATAGGTCAGTGACCTGACCTGACCCAAAAATGCAG